GACAGTACCTGCTCTCTGCAGGATGGTCTAATGTTCATCCATCCATCTATCCATCCGATAGTGCTGACAGTACCTGCTCTCTGCAGGATGGTCTAATGTTCATCCATCCATCCATCAGATAGTGCTGACAGTACCTGCTTCTCTGCGGGATGGTCTAATGTTCAGCCATCCATCCATCCATCAGATAGTGCTGACAGTACCTGCTCTCTGCAGGATGGACTAATGTTCATCCATCCATCCGATAGTGCTGACAGTACCTGCTCTCTGCAGGATGATCTAATGTTCAGCCATCCATCCATCCATCCATCAGATAGTGCTGACAGTACCTGCTCTCTGCAGGATGGTCTAATGTTCATCCATCCATCCATCCGATAGTGCTGACAGTACCTGCTCTCTGCAGGATGGTCTAATGTTCAGCCATCCATCCATCCGATAGTGCTGACAGTACCTGCTCTCTGCAGGATGATCTAATGTTCAGCCATCCATCCATCCAGCCAGCTTCCTCTTGTTCTGGACTCAGGTCTCGGGGGCAGCATATCAGGGAGGTCCAGACATCTCTCTTCATAGCCACCTCTTCCAGCTCTTCTGGAGGACTCCAAGGTGGTCCCAGACCGACCGAGAGATGCAGTCTCTCCAGCGTGTCCCAGGTCTTTCCCGGGGTCTCCTCCCAGTCAGACATGCACAGAACTTCTCTGGGGAGTTACGCACGGGGCATTCTCACCAAATGCTTTAACCATCTCAACTGACTCCTCTTGATGTGGTGGATTAAAAAAGGTCAAGAAATTGTTTCTTTGTGGCAGAATACCTTTAGTAGAACGCGGTTTAACATGAATAACTTTTGTAAATTATTATTCTGCAGCAGCCTTAGCTACGATGAAAACAACTCGTGCAGGTAACTCCCACCTTACCGTTCTCACTAAAGTTTATAAGGATTAAATCAAGTTAGCAGAAGTTACACATTTATCTACCGGTTGTTTTTATTTGCTGTGGGATCCACTAACTCTTCTGAACATTTGGACCACAGTTTGTACGGGGGTAATAAGAACTGGGACCTGGTTGAAGACTATTTCTGCCTTCATGTTCAGAACCAAAGCAGGTGGGTCGCTGAGTTGGCACCCTTCCATTATGCCATGACTAGAGTCCACGTAAGATCGGTTTTTGCAATTGGAAAGATGAGCCATCGCGATGAAGGGATGGTTCAAAGCTTCACGTGGAACGATCCTTTTCGCTGGATCTACATTCAACATGAGCTCGAGGAGATTCAAAAACTGTTCTAAATCTTGGAGCTCCTCTCCGTCTGTCATAGATGATTTGATGTTTGCAAGTTGTGAAATAAAATCCATTGATCTATCGTCTCCTGTAACACGCCTCCAGGTTCTTTCGGTATACTCTACAGAGGTCTTGAACCGCCAAACTGATCCAGACTCGCACTTCTCCAGAAAAATAGTTGTGGTCAGAGAAGCCGAGGCGTGGTGCGGCTCTATATGCGTCGTATGTTGGTGTAAACATGGCCGTGCGTTATTTCTCCGTGTCATGATAGAATCTTAAGTGTCTTTCACGTACAAATCCTCTGGATGCTCGTGTTGACGCGAGCGTAAACTCACGAGTTAAACAATATGGCCGACATTTCAGTCAGTAGTTCCACAGCCTCGAAGCAGGAACTGTTTATCAGAATAAAGAATCTTTATTCATGTAGACGCAGAAGAATTCCCCACCCATATTAATATTATTTTACTTCTATTCATAAGTAATATTTAACATGATACATCAAATATACATCCCTAAACAAACTGTAATAGGATTAAATTTAAAAAGAATTAAAATAAACATTTATCTAAACGCAGAGTGCTGACTGACTTTTAGGACGAGTTTTGTTTTAACGTTTTAATCTGTTCTTATAATCTTACAGCAGCGTTATTTCTATAATATATAAATGCTGATTTAGTTAAGATTTTATATTTTGGGATGTCAAAAGAATTATCAGTGAAGATGAAACCCAGTTCATTCTGTTACCATGGTGATCTCATTAGACTAGAATTTGTGAAAAGTTTTATTTTGTACTTTCATAATGTCCAAATTACATCTGGTCTCCCACAAATGGACTCGTTGTCTTCTCACAGTGATTTCAACAAGGAGCCACTTTCCAACAGCTGTTTTCACCGGTGTGTTTGGACTGTGTAGACGATCCTTCACCTGGACTGCTGGAGATACGGAGTAGCTCCCCACAACCCTGAACAAGGTCCAGTACAGAAATGATCGAGTTGCTCTGGCAGACCTCAAGTTAAGGGACCTGACGGCGTTGCAATATTCTGATGTATCGAGACCTACATCTCTGACAATCCAGTAAACATCCAGTCACTGGAAAACAGAAGAACTGGGACAGGAACTTAGAGGTGTTTCCATTGAAAGTCTGTCCCCGTGTCATAAATTTGACTGTAGGAACATTTGGATTGACCGAGAGTCAGTGTAAAGACTCTGACAACAAGTAAGGGACGTTAGACACGTGGTATTCTGTTCTTTACACTGCAAACACAAATAACTGGTGATAAAAATGATTCGGAAAAAAACCACTTTATTGACTGTGCAGATTTCTGTCAGGAACAGTTCAACACCGAGCACGAACCTTTTTCAACTGTACGAAAAGGATAATAAACAGCGATAAATGATACAAAACACAACTACGTTATTTTGCTAATCTGGACCCTAAGAATTAAATGAAGAAAACACCACAGGACTAAAGCTAAAAGGATCAGGCAGTTGGAGTCTGTTCCGACTCTGGTTCTGCTTTCTGCAACAGTTTCTGTAAAACAAGACAGAGGTTTGGTTAAAGACCTCGCACATTTGGGAATAATATTGAGACGGGCATCAAGGATGCAACAGTACTAGTAATGGGTATCAACTCCAACACCATGGGCATGTACTAGTACTTCTGGTTGTAAAAGTGTTCTGATACCACAGAATCAATGCTGCTGCGTAGGAGCCTGATGTTCAACCTTGTTCAGAATTTGAGGGACAGTGTCAGCTGTGTGGGAGTAGTCTCATTTGAAGTTGGCTGTTCTGACAATCTGCACTCCTTACCAGTTGGTGGTGGTAATGCACCGTAACGTTATTTCTCACCAGCCACCACAGATACAGGTGACTGATGGAATAAGTATGAATGAATGTGAGGACAGTGGCTGTTGGAAGAGTTTGTGCTGCTTACCTTCAGGTTCTCGTAGTGTTTGAGGGTTTTGCAGTGGCCGATTTCTGCCACTTTTCCTCCACAGAAGAATCGACTGCATGCATTACAGAAGAAACCCGTTTTTGGGACCAAATACTCCATACCTGTGGACACAGCAACACTGAGAACAGGCACTTGGACTGTGTGTGTATGTACGGACACGAGGTGCTTTCTGAACTCAGGAGACCACTTTACAGTCTTTAGAACATCTGAGGTAGTTCAGGCTTGTTGTCACCTGAGCCCTGAGACTGTATGTAGTCCTTAAACCAGGGGTGGACAGACTTATTCAGCCTGTGAGCTACGGTGCTTTTCAAATGACCAAGTCAAAGTGATCTATAAGGCCTCGTTTACATGAGAACCTCTGGAAATGTTAGTGTTTTTTCAACGTTTATTGGGGGTAATAAACAAAAAATGAGCGGCTTTACATGAAAACGCTGTAGTTTCCATGTCAGTCGGGTTGCCAGATAAGAAATTATTAATTATTATTGATGGATGGATGTGACAAGTCAGTCAACACAAGCGATACACCCCAGATGGCTGATTTTATTCCGATGGAGTTTGTTGACTTTTCCACCAAAGAGATTTAACCTTATTCTCATTAAAATCAACAACCAAGGAAGTCGATTCTTACTCGGCTGTGAAAGGCTACTTCGTAGATAAATAAATAGGTCCCGGTACGAAAGCTGGTCGTCTGTGACAACTGATACAATATAAATGCAATGTTTTTGTAATGTTTCACTGTGAGTTGATACAGACGTTTTCGAAACGTTCAGACAAAACAACTTGTTCCAGTGGAAATCGGTTATAAACATGTTATAAACATGTTATAAACATGTTATAAAACATGAGAAGCTCTTGGCCATTTTCAGATTGTGAAAGTAGCTCTCAAAGGAAAAAATGTTGGAGACCCTGCTCTTCATGATGCCATAACTAATAACAGAATTTTGACATTTCTAAATTGATTCAGAATCATTCGTGTCCACATGGACATGCATAGAAAAACAGACCAACTCCCGCCCCTGCTCTGTAGTGGAACTGACGGTTCCTAAAACCCTCAGAGTCTATGCAAAAGGTCTAAATGCACGTAGTCTCCAGATCAGAGGGACGTTCTGAGATGAGTTTCTGTCTTACCAACAGGTGTCTGGGGGTCATAAGGACGGAGGAGCTGGTCTTTGTTCACACTTTCCTCAGTCTTCTCTAGCGTTCCTGGAAGAAATACAAAACATTTTTATAACGTAAACCACAATGACATCATATATTTGGTGCTCACCTTGGACTCCAGTTTCCCCCCACAGTCCAAGACATTTTAAACTGACCATAGATCCTAATATTGATGGTTTTCCTACGTGCGCCTGTGCTGGTTCAGTGATGGACTGCAGACCTGACCTGAGCAGCGTGCATCACACCTGTACCAGTTTGTTACAGTCCGAACCAGTTTGTTACAGTCCGCACCAGTTTGTTACAGTCCGCACCAGTT